AAGACGATATCAGCTGGAAGTGAAAACCTAGTGGTTTCTCCACTGGTAAAACTCTTCCGAGGGGCTCACTGCGTGAAGTGGCCCCTGTTTGTCTGAACTTATTCTACGGTGCCGTGGCAATTAAAAAACGAAATACAATAAATCGAATTGTACGTCGACCACAGTCCTCAGTTCCCTTTGACGTTCCGTTCAGTGCTCGTTGCACCTGGAATATAAATAAAAGTCCTCAATACCACGAAAACGCTTCGTAAAAATGGGAATTATGTGTATACAAGTATATCGAAAACAAAGTTTACGCTTACTTTCGCCTTTTAAAAGAATTTCATTATTTGGTAATGTGGGCTAGAAAAGAGCCTAAAGGGCTTTTCGTGTGTCGCGTGACCTTGCACTTTTGACAAGCCAAGCACGACTGAGCCCACTCCTTAACGTCCTTATTCATCCCTGGCCAGCAGAAACGTTGTGCGATAAGCCTGATGGTGGCTCGTACACCTGGATGAGGGAGTATGTGCAACGTATTGAAGACGTTGTGTCGACAACTCTTCGGAATTATTGGGCGTGGTTGACCAGCAGAGATATCGCGCAAAGTCGTACCCTTGTCTGATCCAACTGGACAAAGTCGCAGCCTGAGAGTTGTGGACGACAACTCATGATGCGGCTCAAGGCCTTCCTTTTGACGCCGAGCTAGTTCAACGAGACAACGCCCTCGATATGATTGATCGAAGCTATTCATGATAGTGCATCGGCTATGGAGTTGTTTGCCCCAGAGATGTGGCGGATGCCTGACGTGAACTGGGAAATGTATTCAAGCTGTCGCGACTTACGCGGGGAGTATTTGTCAGACGCCGAGCTGAGGGAAAACGTTAACGATTTGTGGTCTGTGAAAATAATGAAGTTACGACCTACCACCGAATGCCGAAAGTGGCCTACAGAACAGTACATAGCTAGGAGTTCCCTACCAAATGCACTGTATCTTGTTTTCACGTCTTGCAGCCGCCACGAGAAAAAGGCTAACGGTTGCCACTGGTTGTCAGTCAAGTGTTGCAAAACTGCTCCAATTGCTGAATCAGATGCATCAACAGCAATACTCAAAGGAGCATTGGGGTCATGATGCATCAGCATGGTTGCATTCGAAATGGCTTCCTTGACTTTAGAGAAAGCAAATCTAGCTACGTTGCCCAGTGACACGAACTTCGTAGTTCCTCGAAGTAGATCTGTTAGTGGTCTCATGACAGAGGCACAGTTGGGAATAAACCTTCGGTAATAACTTACCAGGCCGTTGAAAGTGCGGAGATGTTTCACAGTGGTCGGCTCTGGATAGTTCATGATAGCCGCCGCTTTATCTCTCAATGGGCGTATCCCTTTGTTGTCAATGGTATGCCCAAGGAAGCTGAGTGATTCAACTCCTATTTCACACTTCTGTAAGTTGACTGTGATGCCATGTTTTTAAGTCTTTCGAAAACGAGGTCCAAATGTTTAAGGTGAGTTTCCTTATCTGGACTCGCAATTGGACAGTCATCGATGTAGACGTGAACAAAATTCGAACCACGGAGGACACCATCAATAAAGCGTTGGAATGTTTGTGCTGCATTCCGAATACCAAATGGCATGCGCAGGAATTGGAACAAACCAAAAGGAGTAACAATTGCTGCTTTCGAGATATCTTCTGCTGCCATAGATATCTTTTTGTGCTCTTTGACCAAATCGATTTTGGGGAAAATGTTCATTCCGCATAGTGTTGCAGTCAAATCGTAGACGTGACGTATCGGGTAGCGGTACGGAGTTGTTTTGGCGTTAAGCCTTCGGCAGTCACCGGTTGGGCGCCAGTCGTTGCTATCCTTTTTGGGAACCATGTGCAGTGGTGATGCCCAAGGACTGTTTGACGGTATATTTCTGGATATTTCTCCAAAACTGCCTGGTAGGACGTGTCGCTTGATTGTTTTGTTCTAACGATGGCTAAACTCGGACCTACTTAGGTAGTGTCGCCAACAGATATCTTTGTATTGTTATCTATCAGACGTCAACGGCGAGCATCTACGGGTAGATCGTAATGATTTTGCAAATCTATGCCAGTGATGGGCATAGAAACGTCAGCCAGGAGGAAGATCCAGTGGATAGGTTTACGGAAACCTAAGTTAAGGTAGGCATACCGCCTCCTAAATGTCGCGATTGCCTTGCCGTTGGCTGCTTGGAGATTGAAGGATGGGTCATGATGACGCTCCTTTGTCGGTGCGGGAGGAACGCTAACTTCTGTGCCGGTGTCGACGAGGCAGCGAACTTTCGTTTTAATGTCGGTGACGTAGAGCAAACGGCTGTTTCCGCCGGCTACAGTTGCCGCGACCACGTCTCGGTGTGGCCGTTTCCCGAGTTTATATCCTTGTTAAAACTGCAAGGTTTCCGACATTTTCTGGCTTCGTCTCCGTAAGTATTATGAAACCAGCACCATTCAGGGTTTTCCACCCTGTTAGGTTTAGTTTTGGGGCAACCACGCGAGTTGCTGCGATGCGCCAAGGTGCGTTTGTGTGAAGTGCTACGTGAACTAGGACTTCGAGATCGTAGCAATTGCTTAACAGAGTTGCACAGCTTTGTCACCTCTGAATCCCGGCGCTCTGGTTTGTCGCAGACAGAACATACGTTGGAAACGGGTCTGCTGGAAATCTCCAGTATTTTATCTGCCGAGGCTGCCAGGTCATCGAGTGGGACTGACTGCAGTGTCACCAACACGGTTTGCACCGGTTGTGGTAGTTTCGAAGGAAATAGTTCTCGGAAGAGGCCACTGCCAAATGTTCGTGTTCCGATTACTTCACGCATGCGTGCGAGGACTTCAGTAGCTGAGTAGCTGCCTAGCTTGATGTTACGAAGTAATTCATCTAGGCTCTGGCGATCTGTCAGATCGCTTTTCTTCAGGAGTGCGGCTTTGAAAAGTGCATAAGGATCACTCACTTCAGGACTAAACATGTGTGCCGTAACATGTGTATTTAATTCCCACGGTAGCAAACGTGTGACGGCGAGAAATCGAGAATGAGGATCTGAGATGCCCTGTCCTCGAAAATCTGCCTTGGCACACAGAAACCATGTGTCTACATTGTCTGGCCAATATGGCACGAGTTGGATAGTGTTCGTATTCGGCTTAATACGAATAAGCTTGGGAGTGTGGTCGGACATGAGAAAGTGCAGTAAATGGATATATAAGTGTTGTCGAAATGAAAACAATAAACAAATATGAAATGTAACAGGCTCACCAATTCAATATTTGTTATTGGTCTGGATATGTGATCACGTCGGGCTCACCAATTTAGGACTTGTCCTGGTGCGAACTTGACAGACGCAAAGACCAATCACTAATTATTCGGACTTGTTATATACCCACGAGTACGAGACCAAGGAAGAACACGATAGCGTAGTCGGATGGAATAGTATATTTGGATGGCTGTGCCAAGATAGCAATGCGTTCCAACTAGCTGGCTAGAGAGTCGAATGCGAGCAGCGCAACATAATACGACAGCGTGCCAAATGGCGAGGATGCTTGACCGGGTGCCTTCAGCTTAGCGAGTCCAGTTAAACCATAAAGGTCAGCATCAATGTCGAAAGTCGTCAAACCCTAGGCTATTGATTTTGGGAAGTGTGTGATGCTACTAGTCCACTTACTTCAAAACACTTGTTTTCACTGTCATTATTCTGTTCCCCATGGGTGGCGCTTGCCCAACGTGATTCAATAATTCTTTTGTTAATTAGTATGGGCGAACTAATCCACAAATAATTCGCTCAATCTTTGACGCCTTTTTTTCCACTTGTGTTTACTGTACATTGATGCACAACCAGAGAAGCTTGTGCACGGGCACTTTTTGGGTGATGGTTGCTTCTATCCTATCACCATCCACTTGGAACCACCAGAAGCAACTACATACTTCGGTGTTTCCTATGGCATATCCCAGTCAGTCACTGAGGTAATTTCCGTCACATACCTAAAATAAACCTTGCATATTCATGGTACAAGGGTAAGAAAATTGATTGCTTTATGTTATTTACCACAGATAAACTGCTAAGTGACACCCCAGTCCTTCGAAGAGTCATGCAATCCCTGCGAACTCAGTCGAGACCTAACCACCAGTAGGGTTCGAATCGTCCAAATGGTTATCTCAGAGCCACAGCAAGCTGATGGCTAAACTCAATTCATTTGGGCTCATCAAAGACCTATAACGGTTCCACTTAGCACAGAAGCGAGAGCGAAAGAATCGGCTTGCTTCCACAAGGTTGTAAAAATTATTGAGTATTGAGTTTTTAGGTTAACTAGAGTGGCTTTTAAAAAGGTGCGGGTTTGCGGCACTTAATGTCTAGTCCTTTGCAGGGGCTGATAAGCTGTCCACTTTAGTTCTGTAAGATCTCATCAGCTGAGTGCAAACGTAGGTAAGAATTAGTATTTACAGCTTCGTTATCACCGGTTATTGGAGAAACGCAGCACAATTCTACTATATATAACCGTTGTTTAGTATTTTAATTTTTCAATATAGTAGACTGAGTTATCTGCATTGATCACGCCAGTTTGTATCTTTGTGGAGGTCCAGTTTCTCTTTGTTAACGCTTACTGAAAAACCTGCTCCCACTAACCGCAGCAATAACTTTCAGACGTATTCAACCCTTTCAGATACAGCTCCACTCGTGACATTCTACTACGGCTCTTAACCTTTTTGTGATGTCCTCCTAGATAATTAGCCCTTAAAGGATTATGAATGCTTAAGAGATCGGTACCCAAACCCTCATTTAAGATACGATATACTGTTAAGTCACGCCTAAATAAGATGGTGGGAAAAGATTCAGACGTTCCAACTGTCTTATTTCAGGCAGATGCGAAGGTTTTGCTATTAGCTTAATAAACACCCTTTGTACATTTTCATACGACGTATTATCACATGTTTCGTATCGCTATACAAAACTTCATTAGTTTTTAAGAAATGCTCTTGGCTTTTGCATTTCAATATCTGCACGCATTTTGTAGGATAAAGATGACTACAAAGCATATTGGATGCTCTAATCCACGCAACTTCAAAGAAAAAATTGAACTTCTTAAAATGAAGGAAGCTGCTTCTACGGCGAATTTCGCTGCTGCTATGAGGGATGCGCAAGAAATCTGTCAGGTATGTCTTCAAAACTTACCATGTTAACAATGTATTCAAAGATTGCCTGTGCATACGATGCTCTCCCATTGTCCCTTGACCATAGTCATTTGTATGGAGGTCCATCGGATCGTTCGATACTTCTGAAAGCACATTCCCTATCTGATATCAATGATTCGGGTTCTCATATAGCCAAGAAGTATTCTGATCTTTCCACCCAAGATTCCACACTTCATGCAAAAGTTATGCCGGTAAGTTTACTTTCAGTAATGAAGGTAGCTCCCATTTGCCCACCACCTTTTACGTAGCTTTCTAGTGTCTAAGGCTGTCTACTTCAAGTATCGCACTAAAAGGAAATCCGGATATTGGGTAGCAGGTTTCACATTTGTCTGCTATCAGTAGCTATCAGTAGTTGCACTCTATTCCATGTCTTTTATCTCATTTTGGTATACCGTCGTGTATCTACTTAAAGCGTATCACTGTAGTACTCCGGAACTGTCGGTTAGGTAGTCCATTGAATTCGATAAGTTTTAGCGTTTATCACTGGTTATGTTTACGGTGTGTCCATTTAGGATGGATATTGAATTTCGATTTCAAAGCAGGTTCATGATCAAGGAGAAATAAAAATGACATGAATATTTTATATTCGGCACCTATCTTGGCAATGTTTATGGTTTTCCGTTGCCTTAAGGACTGATCTTCAAGCCAACAAAACTATGTAGTCCCAAGATAACACTGTCTGTGGTTTGTGTCCAAGCTGTACCTAGGCTTGGCATCACTCGCTTGTATGATATTTTTGTTGATACTCTAAGTGCACGTTTCGTATGCATAGTAAGTGCCAAATATATTGTGAATCTTGGTTGGTATCGCTTTTACTGTGGATCGATGTTAAACGCAGAAGTTTGGGTGGTGATTGAACCTAAGGAATTCTTAGTGTGATAGCTATTCAAGTAAAGTATTGTGGCTAAAAGCAACTAATAATAAAACCTTACTTCCTGAACTGACAATAAGTGGATTTATTTGCACTACTAATCCAGTAATCTAACTGAGGGTTTCCAAAGAATGATGGTTTTTTTGCATCGCCGAACAGCTAGTTCGAAAACGTACAATTCTTTGTTTGGCGATCCCGCACCGTTGAATTCATGCATTCATGGTATCTTGATGTAACCACTCCTAGCGTTCTCCCAAACCAGTTCTACTTCAACTACCATTGTTTAATGGAGTCATTAGTGATCTACTGTGAGTAGTACAACTCAGGCACCACTGTCATTGTACGTCCACAAGCTTGTCGACTGATTTTACCTTTCTTATCTAGTAATCGACTTTCTACGGTCAGTATCTGTAACCTCACGTACGCCATGTTGAGACACCATAAATGAACTGCAAAAGGAAGATTGTTTTACAACTAAGTTCCTACGGTAGTTGGATACACTTAGTGTATGATGTGGAGCTGTGGGATGAAGGACAGTTGTATTGGGTTAGCATCTGTTGGTGCAACATGAACCTTTGGGTGGGGTCCGGAAGATCGCGCAACTCCGTAGCTTGAGACATCAGATATGGCTGAGAATCGATACTAGTGGCGGTCATGCTGTAGCTTTCTCCTGTCTTCTACTGTTGAGAAGTAATGAGTGTTTTGTTTTGAATGTACCCTACTGAATTGCCCTTCGAATCATTCTGTTCTTATTGTTTTATTTTTATCCGTTTCCCTTCGCTTTATGTCTTCATTTTGTTATATTATTTTGTGTGGTGAACCTCTCGGTGCCCTTGCTGCGCCACCTTTGTGTTGTTATAGTAATAATTATTACTATGTTATTATTATTTGTCCCTTGGGTTCCTAATGGAACATAGGGCTTCAGTAACACGTCTCCAATGCGCTCTGTTCTCTGAAATCTTTTGAACCTGGCTCCACGACAGCCCACAAGCTCTCATTCCCTTCTCGCACGATCTCCTCCATGTCACCCTCGCCTCGCACGCCCAACTCGTCGCCTCCCATCTGGGTTCCACTCGAGAAATTCGCCTGACATATGATGTCCCCAGTCAACCTTCTCAGTGTATGCCTAATCCATCTCCACTTCCTGCTACTGCATATTTGTTGGACGATATGTTCTTGCTTAGTTAGCTCCTTGCCAGTCAGCCGGAGTTCAGTTCCTTGTTGCTTATTCTTTCTGGCAATTCATCTGATCTTCAGTAACGAGCCAGCGTAGGCAGTTGATGATGAATGTGTGTAGTTTGTTGGAAATCGCTTTCGTAATGCGCCAAGTCTCTGAGCCATACAGAGGCACTGATTTGACGCTGGTGTTGAAAATCTGGATGTTGTTGACACTGTATGCTGAGTACAATGCAGAAGATCTCCACACTGGTTTCAGGTTAATGAAGGGAGGCCTATCTTGCTGGCCTTTCCGATGCTGGCTGGCTTTGACGTGCTCGTCTGTGCCTGTGCCGCCTGTAGTTGAAACGGTACTGCCTAGATAGGTGAAGGAGGTTACTTCCTTTAAGTTTCTCCTGTTCATGGTGATTGGAGTTTGTTGTTGTTGTTGTTGTTGGTGCGGTATCTTCATCACACCTTTCTTCTCTATATTCACTTGAATTCCCGTCTTCGCTGCCTCGCCGCTTCTGTCAACTTGTTAGTTTTTGCCTGTAGATCTTCAAGTTTATGTGACATCAGACACAGGTCATCGGCGAAATCCAAGTCTTCTAGGTTCTTTTCCGCAGTCCAGTGTATCCCCCTCTTCTCGCTGCCCACTGTTTGCTGCATGATCCAGTCCACCACAATCAGTAATATCATGGGTGATATTAGACAGCCTTGTTTCGCTCCTGTCTTCACTTCGAAAGCATCACTGAGCTTCCCATTGTGAATTACTTGTCATGTGGCGTCTTTATATAGTTGTTGAATGAGGCTGATAAAGGTTTGTGGTATTCCGTGTTGTTGTTGTAGTAGTTTCCAAATTACCCCTCGGTCGACGCTGTCAAAGGCCTTCTCAAAGTCGATGAAGTTGAGGTATAGAGCTGATTGCCATTCTACGCTCTGTTCTATGATGATACGAAGCGTTGCAATTTGGTCAGCACATGATTTGTACTTCACGAAGCCAGCCTGTCCAGGTAGTAGTTTTGAATCCAGTGCATCTTTAAGCCTCTCCAGGATGATGCGGCTTAATATTTTACTTGGGGTGGACAGGAGAGTGATTCCGCGCCAGTTCTTGCAAACACTGAGGTCTCCTTTCTTCGGTAGTTTGACAAGGTAGTCCTTCTTCCAATCAGTAGGCAGGTACCTTTCCTTTCTTCTTGACCTTCTGCAATAGTGGTGTGAGCATGTCCGCTGTTATCTCTGCGTCTGCTGCCAGTGCTTCTGGAGGGATTCTATCTGGTCCTGCTGCTTTCCCGGATTTCAGTAGCTTTATGGCGCTCAGGACTTCGGCTTTTGTTGGAGGATTTATGTTCACTTGTAGTTCAGCGGCTGCAGGTGGTATTTCTGGACGAAGTACAGGTGGTGGTGGTCGATTCAAGAGCTTTTTGAAGTGATCAGCCCATCGTTTCCTTTGTTTCTCCTCTTCCGTAATTAAATTTCCTTCTTCATCTTTTATTGGTTTCATCTGTGTTGATCTCTTCCCTGATAGCAACCTGGTTATTTGATACAATGCTTCACTTGCCAGTGTTTCGTAGAAGTGTTTTTTGTCTTTCCGTGCACTCTTCTTCACTTCTTTGTCCAGTGTCTTATACATTGTACTCAGCTCCTCTTGTCGTTGAGCATCCATGCACTGGTTTATCTTTTGCTTCACCATCCTCCTTTCCTCTATCAGCTTCCAGGTATCCGTCGAGATCCATTCCTTATCTTCTTCCTTCTTCCTTCCTAACACGGCTGTGCAGGTTTCTTTCCACGTAGCTTTCAAAGACTTCCAATGTTCTTCCACACAGGTTTCTTCAGGGATGTTCCTCGATATCTCGCATTTTGTCTTGATGACTGGCTGCCGTGAAGATTTCCTTTGTAGTTCCATCCTTCAGTTTCCGAGTGTTGTACTTGGACTGCGGTCTATCACCAGCTTCCTTGAAGGCTTTTAACTTGATTTGAAAGGCTCCTTGCACTAGATAGTGAGTGGTGTGAACCTACATCTGCTCCTCTTCTTGACCTTGTGTCAAGTAGACTGCGTTTCCACTTTCTTCACATTGAGATGAAGTCGATCTGATTTTTTGTGTTCTGGTGTCTGGTGAAATCTATGTCGCTTTGTGGGTATACTTGTGCTTGAACACAGTGCCTCCAATCACCGAATAGTTGAATGCACAGAATTTTGCAAACAATTCTCCATTCTGGTTCATTTCACCGAGTGCTTCTCGACCCATGGTTAGTTCTCTTCCTATGTTGTCCACTCCCAGTTTGGCATTCATGTCGCCCATTAGAATTTTGATATCACCAACTGAGGTCTTCTCTGTTATAGTAATAATAATAATATTACTGGTACTGCACTTGGATCTAAGGTGGCTGACTTTAAAATGCTTTAAATGGATATGTTGAGTTGGTGCTGAGGTTTTGTTTGTCTTGTCTTGCAACCCCAGCAACTTTGTGCACATTCGTGCAGAAGGCAATGAATCACACTTATTGTGAAAGGATTATTGATACTACCTGGCTGCCCAAATCTAGGTAGGCAGAGCGGGGTTTGAACTTGTAACTTACTGGTTGAAAGTCAACTCCGTAAACCACAGCTTCATAATTCTACACGATGTTTGTAGACAGGTGACTTACCATTCTTCATTTTTGTCTACCGTTATCATAGACATGCTCGTCCAGGTTTACGTCATGTTTGACTTTACATGGATCGATCTCGCTGCAAGAGACTGTATACTCTAGTTAGAGTACTCAGACGACATTCTCGCCAGGTGAAAGTTTACTAAGTGTATGGTATTCTGGACATCGTAAATGAAAGTTTGAGATTTTTGTATTGTTTCTCACCTCCGATATGCAAACTGTTGCTTCAGCCGATTTATGTTGATGCTCTGTCTGATTTCAAGGTATGAAGTGGCTAGGTGTACTAATTACTTCACTTACTACGGAAATTGAATGTGCGTCGATATGTCAATGACTAAATAAATCTCGATGCACATGCAAATCCTCGATTAGCTTTCATCAACTTACGCCACATCTGGCGCTGGTGAGAAACGTTTGGTTGCTAGAGGCTGACCTTACTGTGCAGCAGCTTGGTGTGTTCTATCATATGGCTGTGAAATACAATTGTTAATGTTGAACATATCTTTAGGTGTTCGATTGTTTCTTTTTCTTTACTGGCTGCAAGTGACGAAACCACCACGTGAGTAGTGTATGGGTTAGGCATAGGGTCTTTGGTGAGTGAGAGACATCGGTTGATGAGGTTGTAGACTTTCATCGATGCGTGTCTGGAATGTGTTACGCATGCCTAACTTCTGTTTCTCCAAACGATGAAAGACTTAAGAGTTGCCAGGTCAGAACATGGCGTCAGTCCATGAAGTATGCTACTATTGGTCTGAACATTGCAAAGTTCACATGACAATAGAAGTCGATAACTGGGGACTCTAGGTCACATGATTGAGGGTCGATTTCCGCGGTGCAAATGCAGCCACACCTTCTCATCATATTAACTTTTATTTCGCACTTCATTGTTTGCTTAACTTTTCCTTCCTGTTTTGTGACTCTACTGCTTTTACTATATTTACGTTTCTTTTTCATTTGTCTTGTTACCTTTCACTTTGATATGGTATGAGGTGTTGCGGGTTTTATCGATGCACATTAATGCCGAGTCCCATTTCCATGTTGAATGATTCACTGCTGCCAAAACATCAAACGAACCGACATCAAAATCACCGACTGGTTAGAAATGCCATAATTGCTGAAATAAGCGAAGTGGTCAACGAGCTCAGCCACTTCGGTTCTTTTTCTTAACCGAGGATTTGGTATCACATGACATTTGAGAGGTAAGAAAAACAGCAATGGTACTTAACTATTGTCTCAACGTTTTCAGATGTCCCCAAATTTTGTGAACATCTTTGCCTAATAGCATTATGAGATGTTACCTATTGTGCGTTGAATTATCTTTTATTGATAACTCCCCTAAGTTTTTAGACGTACAGACACAAGTGAAATTAAAATGGAAGCGGGAAAAGCTGCGTAACGGTCCAATTTGCCAAACCTTATATCGGTACATCAAGCGAGAAAGCGCTAAGATGAAAGACAGGAATAAAGAAGAAAATAGTCGAAGGTCGTAGAAATTCGCGAAGAGCGAATGAGGAGGAATAAGAATATCAAAATTTGATACGACGATACAGCTGATGTGTAAGGGTGCATCTGTGCTATTGTGAAGGTAAAGTCTCCAGCCACTAGTTTCTATTGTTAGGTGGATCTCAGCCAGGAAGTTTGTATTCCTCTACATGGCTCAAACCAACAGTTAACGACTTCAATGACTGATGCTATTTTTCTATCCTGAAATTACTTCAGCTAGCACTGTATGACGAGGCAAATGGTGACTAAGCATACGTAACTTGTGTTCCAGCCATCTGAGTCGACAAAAGTTCACAACCTCATCGACTGACTTTCCTTTCCCCCCGGAAATGCTGTACCTGACTTCTGCCTTATTGACCTGGGGACACGATGACAGGCTTTATTCTGCCAAGGCGATGGTGATGGGATACATGAAGCCTTCTCATATCCTTTACCATTGGTGGGCGTGTTTGAAAGAAAATCATTGACAGCGCAGTAAACTCGATCCTTAATAGGCAACCGGACATCACGCATTGAGACAAATGGCGTAAGTTGGCAAAAGCTAAATTGATATTTTGTATCCGTGTCGATATTTTGTCAATCACTGACCGAATAGCGCTGATCAGACTTATGTGAATGAAGGGGGTGATTGTGGTTAGCCACTTTACTTCCTATTGTTAATCAAGGTACCACTGAAGACCAGTCTTGGAGCAACAATTTACATTTGATAAGCGAGAAATGCATTCCAAACATTCTCAGATTGCCACTCAGGGTGTTCAGTAGACTACACTTTGTCAGTCTTCGCAGAACAGGAATGTCATCTGCGTACTCTAGATCCACCAGGGATTCCCCTATAATGAAGTCAATCGCTGTAAAATCAAGTGGATATCTTTGAGACAAACATACCGAATCAAGGTAGAGTCTCCCACACAAGTGCATCGGCTGAAGTTGCCACAAAAGTATACAAAGAACAGGTGGATGAAGATTGATATCGAAGTAGACAAAGTTGTGTAAAAGAATAAACAATGTGAAGATACAAGTTAGTGCGACTATTCAAGCTTCAGAAGACATATCCTTGAGTGACACCACTGGACGTACGAAACTCACCGTAGACTTTAACATGTCCACGGGTGTTAGAGTACAGAGCAGTCAACAGAGTGTTGTATTTGTTGGTTATCCTTTTCAGTGAAAAAATGTTGTAAGACCTCGCAGTCGACAGGGTGCAATGTGGCTTTCAGGTCGAGGAATACAGCTAGTGTCGGGCGACGGTAAGTGTGCGTCTACTCCAGAACCTGGTGTGAATATTTGATCGATGCACCCACGCCCAGGTCTGAAGTCTGCCTGTTTTTATCGAGCTTGCTATTCTCGAGCTCTACTTAGACGTGTGATAGTCATAGAACGCATAGTGGGCAACCAGAATATTTGGAGGCAATGTAAATTGTTCCTTAGAGTGGTACACTCATTATTCCATTCATCTCTCCTACAAGTGAATCGCCAGCTCATGCTTTGCACTAACGGTTTCATTGATCGTTGACTTTTTCGCTCGAGTTTCCTTGGTGAATTTAGGTAACTGTCTACTATTACCTATCACCGTTGCCTATTCCATCACCTTAGCTTTCGCTATCCACCACTACTCATATTCATTGTGTTGACTCTTTGCCACTCTATGCATGAGTTTCTTCAGTTTATCGTTTTGCTTGAAGCCTATAGGAGTGTGTTCACTCGCATCTATTAATTCAGAGGCTGCTGAGAGATCCGTTCACTGTTCTGACTTGTTTCTGAAAGTCAGTTAAACGCTGGTTTCGCATCTGGTTGGAGATGGCTCTCAGTTTCTTCTGGATGAGTAGTATCCTGTTCGGACAATTGTCTAATCAATTCCTCATTGATAGCAGTTTTCGTATTCTTGTCATCAAATTTCCCCCAAAAGAACCTTGCAACTGTAGTTTTTCTTCGTCAATCGGAACGCAGATATAAGGGTGCTCAAAGTAACACGGGATTACTGTTCAAAGATGTGCTCCAGAAGGAGTTACGAGTAGTAATATTGCCAGTCTGCGTCCAGTGTTAAGGTCAGTGAACACCACGTCAAACGAAGTTTCTCCTTGTGCTTGAATTTCGTTTGGGCGAAAAATAGATAGCTTCCTGAGCACAGATGCAGCAGGCTGATAAGTACTTTTGTATTGAAATCACGTGCTACGACAAACAAATCTGGTTGTTTGGCTTTCATTAGGGGGCTGGACATTTCTCGGTAGAACTCGTCCTTCGCTTCATCCCAGCTGCAGTCAGTGGGCTGTGGTTGTGAGAAGACAATGGCGAGTTTCACTACTGTCTTTGGTCCTCATTTTGTCGTTCAGTCAAACAGTTCACAGACGACTGTCAACTGTGAATCTAGTCGAGGTGTCCACTTTATGACTTAACACTTAGTGCAGTACATTCAGCTTCAAGACCACAGCCATTGAATCTTCAGAAACTCGAATGGTGGGTTTCATAGATTCGTCATATTTTCCGGGTAAGGTTAAATGGGTAACCACACTTAGTTCGTGCGTACTTGTGCTCAAAAATACAGCACACGTTTCTGGCTGGAAATATCAGTTTTGGCTAGTGAAGCTTATTGGCCAATCTGACAGAGGGTGCGGCTATTGGAAGCTCTTATAAGTAGTTAAGAGCACCGTCTCATGAGACCAGAGATGTTGTTTCATGAATTCGAATCGTCATTGATAGCAGCAGAACTCGAAGAAATTACAGGTACTGTAGCGATGTTGATCAAGAGATACAAAGAAAGGCAAGTAGGTAAAGAATATGTAAACCAGCCAGTAATCTGAGTGAATTCGGGTGTTGACATGGTTGTGAAGGTGATTTCCGCTTCCGGGCTGTTTACACCGTAGAAAGCTATTTCTGTTTGAGGTACCTGAAAAAGAAATTGTATTGGTAATAGTGATGTGTAACCGCGAAACCCAGGGGACGTCTACTTGAAGCTGGTCACAAACGAGATATTCGGGAACTTGAGATCTAACCTTCGTTGTCTTTAATCGAGCTTTGAAACCCATACCGCCTGCATCGAAGGCCTCATAGCAAAGGAAGAGTAAACTATTTTCGTGGTTCACGTTTGGTAATCTTGCTTCCCATAGAGAAGGCAGCAACAACTTGGACTGCTGATCATCTACGAGAACCACCTTACTGCTGGCACCCCATCCAACTAGCAGAATGACTTCGCCCCTGGATCGCTATCATAGCATAGCATAATGATTTCCACTTAAAAATGGTAACTACGTTTTGTCTTGCCAACGTTCTACAGACGTTTATGGTATGGCAAGACCACAAGAGGTGAACGTTCTTACTGGCATAGCTCGTTGAATCATTGCAATGATGCACAAGCATGCCCACCATGTCAGTTTAGCAGCCCATGTGTCGCTCAGCCTAGACATAGATACCGGAATCCGTTACACGTTTTATTAATTTGTCAGGAGGGAGGAATTTCAGGATTGAATGTGACTGAAATACATAAGTTCGGTTTGTTATTTTGAGAAACATAAGTCATTCTTTGTAATCCTGAATTGACTTGATTTTGTCACGATACTACTTTTTAGGTTGACCGTAAGAATACACGTGGCTCCACTATATCTAGTTCACATACAGGTGTGCACTCAGCAGTATCAGATACTGACGGTGACAAGCTAGACCAGCGAGTACCAAGTACACTACAAAACATAGAAATTATCCCAATTAAATCAAATGAAGAATCTAAACCTCAAGCTCCAAATGTTTGTCCATTTTTGTATAATTCAGTATGTTCATCAACCGACACATCCCTTCAGCATAAACAAAGCACTCATGTACATGATTCGGATTATAACACATCATCGTCTTGGTCCACTGTTGCACCGTTTCAACACTCTCCAACTAAAAGTGTACCGTAAGTGTTATTGTGTTTTGAAAGTATTTACTGTAATTAGTTGTATTCCAACATTTTGTTTTCTAATAGTGTCAATACTAAACATTCATCATAATCAGTTGACTTTAGTCCAGTGACCTAAAAGTCGACTTTCAGCCAGTAGGTCACTTGCTCAAACACTGCTCTAGGTACGAGGTTTGGTCGATCTTTTTCTACCATAAACAATCTCATACTCAGTGTAACTCATTGTTTAGTGTACGAAGATTCATATAATTTACCAGCTAAATGAGTTAAGTAGTTGTCTCGTTTGTAGTTCTCGTGATTTCTCTATGAACGGGTGATAAAACTATAGAAAGTATTTCTGTACTGCAAATTATTAAATTCGTATCCTCTTTTTGCTGATGTATCAGTTGTTGGTATTTGTCTTAGTCGAATGACCTTATGTATCTTCGTAGCATTACATATCTTATAGTAACAGTGAACCATATTAAAGAATGCTGAGTACTGGGTGACAAAGGTGGGCCAGTCGATGAGGTTGTAAGCTTGCATTGAAGATGGTTCCTGGTATGTTGTGGTAAATCGTCATTTACGACAGTTAAGCCTGTCTATACTTGGTTGGAGGATGAGAACCTTAAGTACGTATTTCGGGAGGAGGTAGAGTAGAATTTATCTGAAAATGACAGCATTGCTCATTCTGAGAGAACTTGGTGTGACATTAAGTGTACTATGGGAGCAGTGGTGAGAGCGAGAGGGAGAGGGATGGAGAAGTGACCAGCGAAACAGAACAGCCGAGAGTTATTAAGGATTATTAGGGATGCAGGCGGAGAGAGAACGATGAATATTGGAACCATTACCGAAAAGGACGGGATGGTGATAAGCTTTCAGGACAGATGACTAAAACATTGAGCGGAACACTGTGAAGTCGAGTTGAACTAACTGGGTGACAATAGGGCTTCGGTTTCTCAGCATCCATCGTGAACCTGAATGGGACGTAGATGTTGGTCGTTGGAGTTTCGTTAAAGTTTAGAAAAGTGTTTCGAACCTGAAGCGATGCAAAACAGCAGGATTTGATGGTTTAAGCTGAAAGTAGAAACTTGTTGATTAGATTGACGGAGGTACTAGATAATGTATTGTTATAAGAGGTTATGCCATCGGACTGGTCTACTTCACAGATCATTCCACTCTGTAAGAAGCGAGAGAAATCTTCTGACAACTACATGAGCGATGTTGAGGTCAGGCGAAGGGTACTAGGCAAGTCGATTGATGAGGCTGTGAACCTTCATCGACTGAGATGGCTTATACATGTACTGCGCGGGCCGAGCCACCGCTTGCTTCGACGTGCCATGCTAGGGAAAATTGGATTAGGTTGAAAGAGCATTCAGGGTAATAAGACCGTGACGTGTCACCACTGCATAAAGTTCCTGACTGTTCGTCTAAGCTGTGTTGGTAGTCGCCAGCACTTGAGGACTTTTGGTGAAATGGCTGAGAATTGGCTGCAGCAGCGCAGACTTATTCATTCTTTGGTGTGCTCTAGTGCTTGACTGTTTTGAGTGACTTTAATTTTCAAATTTCCTTCTCCCTTATGCTCCTTTGCCTACTTTAATATCAATCTTTCTTATCCACTTATTCTTTGTGTACTATTGTGAAGTATGGCATGTCAAATCGATGCACTTGTGTGGGAGGTTCCACCTTGATATTATCTGTCTGTCTTATATTGTAAGTTGCCCTTAACTTTGACGAATGTCGCCCAGAAATTCACTTGTGAATTGACATCGGTCGTATTAGACTTACTGCTGACAAAATCTGGTCTCAGATACTTAAGATCCATTCCTTATTTGTCAACTTACATAATCTGTGGCGCCGTTGCGATCTTTAACGACTGTAAATCGAAGAGTGAGTATACTCGTAGCAGTCTGGTCTGTCCTGTTGTACGGTGTCGTAAGATGTGTTCATCGAAGGTAAAGTACTTGATGAAACTACGGATTTTCTTTTAAACAATGCATGTCTTCATAACATTCTTAGCTTTTTGTGACAGCAACATCAAAGTTTAGGTGTAAAGTGGAACTTTCTAACCATTATCTGGTCATTTCTAGCACCGAAATGAATACAAATATTTGGTAGCTTCATAATCAACGCTAAAATTAGCGTAAGTTAGACATTTAATATATTTGTACTAACAAGCTATCACTATTGTGTAAATGAATTAGCATTCTATCCATCATCGAATGAAATTCTATGCGTATTCACTTAATGCATAGAGCTAACTTAACTTTCCGTCAATTTATCATAAATTCAACAATTTGAATGTATTCGATTTTCAGAAATTGGAGCAATGGATGCCAAGGTGTTGTCAGTCAACATCAAATTCAGAAGTTTGACTTATACACTGATGCAAAGCCACATTATCAGAGTATACATCATAAATCTCATCTTCCTGCAAATCCTTATTTATTATCTGCATCACATTCAGATGCTGAAGTTGCTTCCACTAGTCTAGATGCATCACAATCGTTGGTGAATTCAAGTCAATATACATGTGAATCAGGCTATTTCAGTGTGAGTGATAGTATTGGGACACCAGTTGACTTTCGCACTTTCCTTCCGATAAATACCCTTCAGCATCCGAAAATCCCATTCTCTGCAAATTTCACTGATCAGCTTAGTTGCACTCCAACACCCTATCCAGTAGTTGATTGGAGAAGGTAATTATTATTATATTGTGTAACCCTAACCTACTTAAAAGTTGTTTTATCATTATGAAAATTTTTGGATATCGATAATGACATTAGTTATTTTCTTATGTTTTATCGCCTTATTTTTATCACCTTCGTGATGGTTCTACAAAACAATATCGCTTGGAAATCTTCTAGAACCCATAAAGGCCTCATATCGTAATACTTCAGCAGTTCTCACTGTCGAACATTTTCTGGATCTCTGAATTTCGAGTGGAGGTTTTTTGTTATTGTTGGGTTGCTTCATTTAAAACCGATCATCGATCTATAAAATTTCATCCAGTTCATATACTATCACACAACCATCCATCATCACTACCACATGCGTTTTGGAATGCAGCCTTGGCTGTTATATAGATTACGCCTTGACAGTAAACCTTCAGAGATTGAGTTGTCATTCATGTCATTTGTTGCGGACAACTGGTTATCTACCTGAAGGTTGCTGGACTAGACTATAAGCTAATTCGCTATATGATGAAGCCTTATAATGCTTACTTGGTTGCTCAGGCTTTGGTAGGTGAAGCAAGCTCCAGTGGCGCTACCTACAGGTTGAAAAAAGTATGATTTGCAAAGCAGTATAACATGGTTACATAGTAGTAGAGTCTATCAGGATGAGTAATATAACGAAGAATTCAGCATGCAGTAACACAACAACGCAATAAAAATTGATTCATACAGGAAGAGTTTAATAACCGATAACCTTTGTTCATCGAATCATTGCCCAACACATAAAACATAAATGATTCAACACTAATCCTGGATATCTTGAGAATTCTACTACCAAGAAAATCAAATAAGAGAAAGGAGTGGATTTAAATCATTAGAAATTCTTGGTTACCTTAACCGATAAATTATGCTCATAATATCTATCAGTTAATCATATTGTATCTCTGTGTACCAGAGTGGAATAAGTTGACTAAAGTTGAAAAACAATCTACTCAGATTTTAATTTAACTTAATATTTCTTACTGTTTCATAGCCAACATCTTTCAAACTTAGAAATATTTACTTGTTTATACATTTTTCAATATCAATATTTTTCCATAGAACTGCTTCTGATTCATCCATCCACAATTCACTGTCAGGTATTCAATTAAATCCAACTGAAAGATATACTTATGGTGCTAAAATAGAAAAATCACATATTTTCAACCCTAGACCTATACCATCCGGTGATCATTATTACAGACAAGTGTGTAAATTAAAAGGTGTTGAAGAAGAGGAGAATTCTAATATTTTAACATCTGTCGACAATAATACGGATACAAAACATGCTTGTGTTATTAGACGACAACGTGATACTCATCATCTAGACGGTCATAATCATTTTATTCATTCAGAATTACTTACAACTGAATCTCATGTTGTACCGGCAAAAAGACCTTACACCTGTACATCTGATTCTCAGTCGAATGGATTTAAAACGGATACTTCTCAGTTGAAAATATGCTCGTACGTTCCCATTTGGAATTACAAAGAAATGTATTTATATTTTTATCCCATAACTTGGTACTTTTTTATTATCTTATAATACCTTTAGTCATAGTTATATTACTCTGTGGTTATCGTAGGAAAATGTGTCACCTTCCTCATAGGCTAGAGTGACCATACGTTGGTTAGTGCGTCAGTTATTTGAATTAGTGATTCCTTACCAGTAGGGTTTGGTGTTTTTTTCTGAGGTTTGATATTGGTAACTAATATCTTAAGCACTAACCTTCATGAATGAAGAATTGAAGCATGTTCAAAGATTACACGAGTAAGATGTTTATGTACTAGGCTATGAACTGTACTAATTGTGTTAGAGCTTATATGTTATACTACCTGGCTATCCTAGCTGAAGGTAGTGGACACAACTTTTGAACGCTAAACGTTTTAACCGATGAAGTACACCGATATCTATATCTCACTGTAACTGACTGATCAGTGCACAACTCAAGGGTAACTGTAAGACAGTTGAACTGTTTCTCGTTTTGTCGAACTCAGTATTTCAGCCGTTTCTTTTGATAAGTGGTTATCAGGCACCTGCTCTTTTCAACTTTATTCCCAATGATCATCGTTTAAAGGCTAGTCTAATTCATAAACATAAGTGACTGTTTACTATAACTTAGCGTCGATACATTACTCACCACTTTTGTTTCTTCTGCTTGTTACTACTCGCTGTCATCGAGAATATTTCTAGTCGGTTTGAGTCTTGCTATATGCCCCTAATTCTGTATAACGTTTGCCTGAAGGCTGAACTCCCGTTGGTTGTTAACTCTCTTAACCTTATATGTGGATTTAGTGTTGTCAAAGTCGTTTAGAAATGTATATATTCAGCATCGTTCTCAACGGTTTTGACTGTTATTGAGACACTAGAAGCTCTCTGTCAGCTTTCCGTCTTCTTGTTTTTACGTGTCGTTGGTATTGTTGTTGTGGTGGTTGACGTTTCGATTTGCATCAGAGTCAATTCGTTTGCGCGTTAGGTTCATATCGCTCCTTAGGTCGCACTACCGGTCATAGCAGGTTCCAGCCGTTTTTGCTGCTTATCTCAGTCGTAACCAGCTGATGTTAGTTTTAATATATGGTAGTGATTATTATTGCGAGTTTTCATCTTTCCAGCAGTTAATCCACAGGACCAGATTTACCAACAGCCGTTGGTTTATTTTGTCTTGGTGTTTCCTGTGATATCAAATGTGCAGTTATGCAGCATTTGATTAGGTCTTGCAACGTCACAACACATAGTATTGAATATTTTACTAACTGTTGAAAAAACTCAGTTGACATCAACTTGAAACCTGACCTTACTGCATAGAGGATTGATTTACCTCGCCAACCTTCAGCATATCAAGATGAAACTCGTGGAAATTTGTCAAAAGCGAACAAAAACAGGTGAAACGATGAAAAAATAAAATAAAGATCGTGATGAAGATATTGTGGGGATACATCTGCATCACTGAGTTGGTTTCTGAGCCATATCACCTAGGATATCCAGCCACCAATTTCGGTTGTCACGTGGACGTTGACCAGAAAGTCTACATTTCCCTACATGGCTCAAACCAACAGTCATAGCCAATGATGCCAGGTCTTCATCTGGCCGCCTTTTACCCTTTTAAAGCCTAAACCTATTTCAGCCAGCACTGAGTGACTAGATAGGTGGTGAGTAAGTATTGACAACATATCTCGCGACGACTTGAATTTATATCAAGGCCTGCAACCTCATAAGCTGACTCTCCTCTTGCTTAAAATTGCTCCTAATATCTATGTTACTAACGTGACAGTTTCATCACACAGTCACTGTTGTGAAAGCAAAATGTAGAACTTCATGTCGTCCACCCTTAGTGTTCATGTTTCACAGTCATATAGACGGTAAAACTGAGCGCACTGCTGTTTGGTACACTCGACTCTTAGTGGAAAGTTGAATATGAAGTTTGCACTGTGAATGGAGTAGGTTGGCAAGAGCCAAACAAGCCATCTCTATCTGTATCGAGATTTGGTTGGTCACTGACCTATCAGGGCTACTCCGAATTTTCAAGTAAATGATGTGGTTTACGCACTCAACATTTTCACTCCTTTTTCCCAAACAGTTTATTGATGCAAAGCAACATTTTGTATTTGGGTGGTTGGGAACGCATCTCAAGCATTCCTTAAGTATTCAGAAAACTGGCTTTTTGTTCGCATCTTCTCCGGACAGGACTGTCACTTACATACTCTAGGTTCTCATGAGATATCTTATGACATTTCAAATACCTGCAGAGTTAGATGAAGAGGGGTAGTCTCACAAAAGCATACTTAAGACAAGTTGTATGACATTGGAGAGAGTGGACATCTTGATGGACACCGATCGACGTTTACAATCCATCTGATTTCACTGTAGGTTGTAACGCATACATGGGCATTCAAGTACAGCCCCTTTAATGGAGTGATTTGCCTATCCAGCATTATTTTTCGTAAGAAACATTGCCATAAGACCTCTTGATCGATGGAGTCAAATGTTACCTTCAAGTCGAGGAATCCAACTAGTATCGGTTGATGGTAAGTTGGAGTATGTTCCTGAACCCGACGTAGAGTGACTATCCTGTTGGTGCATCCACGACTAGGTCTGAAAGCTGCCTGTTTTCTCCGTGTTTTCTGTTTTCGAGCTCCACTTAGTCTTCTGACAATTATAGTGCCTAAGATTTTAGACAGTTTGTTTGTCAGACTGGTTCACCTGTGGTTATCGTAAGATAATTTCTCTCTTTCGTTGAAGGCTGGACCTCATATTCACTCCTTATCGGATAAATGAACATCCCAAGATACTTAAGTCTTTAAATTAGTGTTAAACACAAACCATCTTCCTACGGTTACTGAGTCAGCATATCATACTATTTGAATAACCTTTTTGCGGGTTATGTGACTATTAACCCCATCAAGCGGGTCTTATTAGATATAAGGCATATATTTCACTATGAAAAGATATTTTCATCGAACTTTGGCAACGAACAACATCTTGTTCTGTTTGTCAGCACCGAAGATCTGTTACATAGATCTCGGGCTTATCTATCACAACGACCCAGCGAGCTACACTGGCTGAAACGCTTGTTACCTCGAGGTCCTACCATGCTAGAAAGGTCTATTGAATAGCGGTAAAGAGAAAAGCAGTTAGTGTTGTAGCATAAATTACTACATTATGATCGGAGTCCGAGGGCGAAGTCATACTGCTGGCTGGATGGGGTGTGATAGGAGTCAGCAGTGCTATGCTGATGCTACTCTTTCCAATGGGAAGGGTGGGGGGGGGGTTAGAAGAGGTCGGGCCCCCCAAGTAGCACACTCCTCTTTTCCCTATAATCTTGCCGTGCCGGTGGTATACGTTTTGTCTATCCGGCTTTAGAACTACCAAATCTGCAGAAGCCTGTTTGTGATAGTCCTCAAGCAGATGTCCGATGGGCTCTGTGGTTACATAAACCTTTTTCTGCACAACCTATCGTCCTCAGTTCTGTTTCTTCCTTTGCCTTTATCTCCTGATACTAATATTAAGCCTCTTACACCTTCCCAGACGTCTCATTCTGTGACCATTGCGAACGACCGAACCATCGAAACCTTATTCATGGTCTCATAAAAGCCTGTCATCGATAATGTGTGGGTACATCTGAGCCACTGTGATCGGTTCTCCACCCATTGATTTCAGTTTTCCGGTGAACCGCAACCGATACGTTTACATTTCCTTACATGGCTCATACCAAGACTCAAAGATTTCATGCATTGATGCCATGTTTTAGTCTAGCCGCCTGTAACCTTTTTCCAACCTACACTTTAGTCAACATTGTGTGATGAGGCAGTCAGTGACTAGGCTTGTCTAACATATATCCCAACCATTTAAGTCGTTAAAAGTTCACAACCTCATCTCGCATTTGACAGGTTCAAAATACTTGACAAAGACTCAGATTTCTGCTCAAGGTGTTCAGAAATTTCTTCATTTTGTCAGCGTCTACAAGGGGGGCAGGAGGATTCAAGTAACATTTACTCATTTGCTAATTAACGTAAATGATTTTTGCACTCAACCCTTTAAAAAATGATTCAACGTAAAAGTTTACTTCTACTTATATGTTTAATTATCAGTAGGTGTCTAGAAACTACTGTCGTCAGTGTTAACTGTTTAGTGCATCCGTTTCTGTTATACTCTTTTTTAATGCAAAGGTTTTTTGACATCAGTTAATTTCTCATATATAAACCATTCAGTTTCGCCGTGGTTTTAAGCATCTGACGAAGTTTAAGTGATTTTTTTGGTAGTAAATTTGTGCATTATCGATACTGTTTTGCTTGCAAATTGGTATGTATTTTTCTGTATCTGGTTTTAGATCTCATATGGATAGCCTTGGGGGCAGTATGGATCAGAAAAGCATCGTAAGTAGTAAAATGTTTATCACTTTTTATTACTCTAGATTCAGCTGAATATATCAATCTGTGTATACTTTCCCTTTTAGTTTTGAATGATTGTGCTCAGATGTGTAATCTTGCCTCATAAACCCCACGTGAGCACAGAAAACATATGACGGACCAAAGTAGAGGGATTCAAGTTACGTATTTTTAGTTTGAGCATGATGTTGACTGGTGAAAAGTCTTCTATGTTGAGACGTTCGTGATTACACCTATCCTATAGTTTGCTGACAACATTTTCATCGGCCTTAGGCTAAACTGATACAGTATGCGTACTAGAAAATGCTTCACACAAACAGCATAACACCCGGAAAAATGAAGAATTGACGAGGTTTAACAATAGCAGAATAATCAGAATAAGTGTCATAAATTTTGTCCAATGAAGCGTTCGATAATACTGTCATTCTTTCAGTAATACGAGATAAATCCAAGTCAACGGTTTCTATTCTGAGGCATATTCCTTTTGTCTGGATTCATTGAGTTTCATTATATCGTGGGTCCCATCCAACGGGTTACTATACGCCAACAGATGCTAACCAATCAAAGCTACGCTACATCTCAGGGTGTTGCTTTATAAACAGGTCATGTCTTCTTTCAAGCAAAAGCCTGAACTTTATATAAGATAGCATTCGTAATACAATTCAATGTCACAGAGGCTAATGTTTCGGGATAACTTCACTTCATGAATGACGATCTCCATTAAACGTAGATACATACCAATAGTTCTTTGAATTCCGTACATGATGTTTTTCACCTGGTGCAAGAAGTCCTACGGAGACAACAGTGACTGAACAGTGGAAGTTTCTGTGCATCCTCAGCTCCGAGAGGCTAAGTATCACGAGTGTGGAGCAAAACTATGTGCACCGACAAATTGTACACTCAATCTTTTACAGTTAAAATTACGTTGCAAGTCGATGTTTGCGATGCTGATTACCTTATCACGCATACTAATCTCACGCACCACACCTGTCCATCTTGTACGAGTACTGCAGTTAGTTCAGAGAACACTCTATACTTTCGGATTCTGGCTGACTACTTGACAATTTCAACGTAAAGCCTTGCACACAAATGCATCGGCTCAAGTTGCAACACTTCACATTAGTATACAACGAATGGGTTGGTGGGAAAAGAGTGATATCAAATTAAGTAAAGTTGCATGATACTATAAGCAATGTGAAGATAACGGTTAGGTTAGTGCAGATATTCAAGCTTTAGATGATGTCAAGGAATGAATACATCTGCGCTATTCTGACCGATTTTCAGCCTTATTAACAAGAGTTCTCAATCACTAACTCTTTTCGTCTCGAAAACCCTAGCCAACCAGACAGTCTGCATCTCCCAAACGGCTCAGGGATTTCATCAACTGGTGCTACGTCTTGGTATCGTCACCCTGAACCCTCTTCCAACCTGATCCAACTTCCCCCTAGCATGCAGCATCAATGTAGGTGGTTGTTCGGCATATACAGTACATGTCCAAGTTAGCCATGTTAGTCGACTAAGATTCACAACCTCATCAATCGACTTGCATACTATAGTATCCTTCTCCTGACCTCAACATTGTTCACATGTTGATTCCACAAGACACGAGCGATGCTACGTAGTCAACTATGATCAAAAGCCTGTAACCACTTCATGTCTTTTATTTTTAACGGCCACGTCTCACAGCTGTATGACGGGATAAAACTGACTGTGGTGTAGTATACTCGTCTTTTGATAGGCAGTCGGATATCTAACAAGTCGGTGCTACAGATGACGCGAGTTGGGCGAATGCGGAACGGGCTTTCTGTATCGGAGCGGAGCTGAAGAGATTTTGTCAGGAATCAGGCCGTTCTGCGTAATGGAACTTTTCAAGTGAGTAAAGTGGTCGACATATTCTATCACCTCACTCTGATATGAAACTGGGAGTGATTCTAGACCATTTTTTGAGCATCATCTAGCTGATTGTAATGGCTAATAATGAGAAGATATCTTTTATATTTACTGAAGGTCGAATAATTTCTTTTGTAGTAGCAGATCTGTACCGCCAACAGACATCTTTTTGGAGCTATCGGGATTAGTGTCTTATTTCATAACTTGTTTAGAGTTTCTGTAGAGCATTAATTGTATGTCTTCCTTCAGTGTGAGATATTTTCTCATATGAGCTACCAAGATGTCAATCTGATACTTATTTGAGGATGTTGAGTTACCCGACAAAGACCGTTAACTTCGTAAACTCATTCACATTCGAATAGAATTTCAATGTGCTCGTCGCAGTTCATCTTTGTGTGTCTTGTCATGGCCGAAATAACATGACAACGGCTGTGTTGTTGTTTTTGATGCAGAAATAATGGAGTTGAGACCAGCGTTGATGGTGAATGTTTTGAGTCACTCCTTCTGCTTACTAATTAGTAATTACCAAGAGGCGGCAGCTAACTGTACTCCATCTCGTCTGTTCAAACTGTTTGGATTCGCCCATCTATCTATGTAGGGCTTCGGCTGTCAGTCTTTCTTGGTATGACCCAAAACCTTTTTGTAGAACCTTAGTTCCGTCGAAGTCAGTTTTGTGTCCCATTTCTATGGAGTGTAACGCGGTCGCGGATTTGTTTTCTAGTTTCTTAAACTCTGCTGAAGTTTTCGGGATCTGTTTTAAGCATACTTTATGCTCATTGACCCTCACATTTACCTGTCTGGCTGTTTCCCCTACATATACTGCAGTACAATCTCCGCATTTGATTTCATAGACGCAGTTCTGTTGATTTTCTTTAGGTACTACATCTATAATTTTCATTGTTAGAACGTAGGGTATTTGTTGCACGGAGGTAAACCCTTATATCGCGTTTGTCGAGAATCCTTCTTATCTCTTCTGAAGTCTCCTTTTGGTATGGGATTGTGACCGTGCTTGTCTACTTCTTCAGAGGGGTTTTCGCAGCATCCTTAATTTCATTTTTTATAATATGTCTAACGAAACCTTTGGGATAATTGTTTGCCTCCAATGTGAGGCAGATCTGTACCGCCAACAGACATCTTTTTGGAGCTGTCGGGATTAGTGTCTTATTTCATAACTTGTTTAGAGTTTCTGTGGAGCCCTGCTAATGAAATTCCGTGTGAATTTGGTTGGGACACGTAGGCGAAACGTTTATAATCATCAAACAGAACAGTCTGAATGAACTCTTCAGTAACATAAATAATGTGTACGGAAGTATCACTTTCACCAAGGAAGTTGAATCCGATTTGTCGAAATTAAACTTTATGGACCATATACTGGAAAGACAGGATTACAACCAACTAAAGATTAAGATATTCAGAAAAGCAACACATTCTGACAGATATCTCGATTATCAGTCTGCACATCCTTTGACTACTAAGGTAACTGTCGCACGGAATCTGATTAGCAGAGCTAACCGTCTTGTTACAATAAAAGAGGACAAAGAAGAAGGGTTAAAGTTAGTTTGCCTCACACTGGAAGCAAACAATTATCCCAAAGGTTTCGTTAGACATATTATAAAAAATGAAATTAAGGATGCTGCGAAAACCCCTCTGAAGAAGTAGACAAGCACGGTCACAATCCCATACCAAAAGGAGACTTCAGAAGAGATAAGAAGGATTCTCGACAAACGCGATATAAGGGTTTACCTCCGTGCAACAAATACCCTACGTTCTAACAATGAAAATTATAGATGTAGTACCTAAAGAAAATCAACAGAACTGCGTCTATGAAATCAAATGCGGAGATTGTACTGCAGTATATGTAGGGGAAACAGCCAGACAGGTAAATGTGAGGGTCAATGAGCATAAAGTATGCTTAAAACAGATCCCGAAAACTTCAGCAGAGTTTAAGAAACTAGAAAACAAATCCGCGACCGCGTTACACTCCATAGAAATGGGACACAAAACTGACTTCGACGGAACTAAGGTTCTACAAAAAGGTTTTGGGTCATACCAAGAAAGACTGACAGCCGAAGCCCTACATAGATAGATGGGCGAATCCAAACAGTTTGAACAGACGAGATGGAGTACAGTTAGCTGCCGCCTCTTGGTAATTACTAATTAGTAAGCAGAAGGAGTGACTCAAAACATTCACCATCAACGCTGGTCTCAACTCCATTATTTCTGCATCAACAACAACAACAACACAACCTGCACTGATCTGATTCCTCATTATTACTATTATTATTATTATTATTATTATTATTATTATTATTATTATTATTATTATTATTATTATTATCACCTTCATTACTACCACTCATTTCCACTCTATTTTTGTAAATCAATACGGAGAGAATTCGCTAACACTATTTACCACTTTACTCCAACTGAAATTGTATACACATCCACCTCATCCTTTTCAATTTGTACTTATATAATTACCGAATGACTGTCATCAATGTCCTTTTTGTCTGATATTTACAATCAAGACGAATATGAATTGGTGTACATACATACATATATACGCCATACAACAAAAGACATACAATTTCACACTGAATGATTAGTTATTATAATTTAGAAAGACAATGACTATACTATATGAGGACTGGACAAGGTGATTAAATACACTTTTTTTGAATTCATTTATATATATGCTTGATATATTAACTATGATTATTTTCCTGAAGAAGCTTGGACCAGACTTCCGTGCGAAACGTTGGAATTATTTGATTTCAAAACCGCTATGATTTACACAAATACAATCTGTATCTGAGGTCAACATTTTACTCAGCGCCCAATGTTTTCCATACCATACGATCAAATCTTGATCATGGTTTATATAATGTATACTACACTGATAGTTGTCATAAGTGGCGAATACTTCGTTTACAGCCGTAGCGTTATTTTAGACTAATGTAACCAGTCGGAAGTGAAGTGGATGCTAACTGAAGACCTCGCTATATCGTGAATTGACAGAGGTTGGACGTTGTGAAGCACTGGAAATCAACCCAGTGGCTGAATGGTTAACGCGGTCGCCGTGAAACCTGATGGTGCTGTGTTCGATCTGTAGCCGGATCGTGGGTGCGTACTCCTGAGGAGTTCCACACTAGGACGAGACAGCTGTCCAGTGCTCCCAGATTTTCAATGGTTGTCCAACTGACGTCAGTCCATGATGAATACCACTTCTAATGTAACATTTGTCGGGTCATACCTTTTTAAGAAATTCATTCACTTATCAGATTAGAGCCTCATTTTCATCTTTCGGCACAGTCGGTTGCAGGTTGCTATGATAGTCTGTTTTTTTCTTTTTGAAATATAGTACTTGAAAGAGTCATTCTAAATCTCAACTTCGTTAGCTGAGTTGTTGTTGTTGTTGTTATTAGCAAAGCATGAATCACACGACATCGAAATTGAAGCGTCTACAACAGTGAATCAACTAACTTGGTTTTGAATGTGCCTTGTCCAGGTGTTTAGGTGTTTTTGAAAGTCGGTTGTCTACTGCTACGACTTTCACTGAAAACAGGCCTGTTACACCGAATAGGTAATGGTTCATAGCATAGTACACTAAGATGGTTATCGAATCTCTGTTTACAAACTAAAAGACATCAATCTCATCTGTTTTCATAAATTCAAGGAGTAAAAGTTGGATGTAAAATGAAATACTTTGTGTTAGGATGAATCTAGTTTGCGGAGTAACTCCTTCGTTAGACTCAATCGTCATTTGATGATGTCGACAAACACAAGTATATATATATATATATATATATATATATATATATATATATATATATATCGATAACGATTAATGAATTTTCTTGACCTATATTCATTGTTAGGATGGTATGGACACTTCATTGAAACATCATAAAAGTTGGAAGATTCGATCAAATGTTTACAATCATCCACACCATATGGATCAGCCAATTTATCCATATCTATCGAACAATGCTACCCTTCCATTAGATACAAAGTATCCTGAATTGACCGATATATCGCGTACATGTCTTAATCAAGAAGTTGATCATCATCATCAGCAGCAACAACATCATCATTCCTTTAGTAATCTGCACAATTTATCTTCACAGCACCCAGAGCTGCATAAAAATAGTACTGATGTCAGCGGTTGTGGTGTTAATGTGATGAATGCAAGCAGTACCGGAACCGGTGAAACAGGCAGGAGAGGAGAAGCACCCTCTGTTGTTTGTGGTGGTGTTGGTAGCATTAGGGGAAATACAGCAGATGATTTATTTCTTCGCAACACTAATGATTTAGATGAGTATTTACAACTCCCTAGTTTGATTTGTAAGGCTGAGGAATCGAACAACAATTTCGGTAAGTGTGTTTATGTGTATTCATTTGTTGATTCATTCCTTTTAATGCTTTCAGAAACAAAGTTTTTAAAAATTTTTTGTAAAAAGAAAACAAGTATGCAATGATGATGATGATGACGACGACAGTGGTAGTTACTTCAATATTATGCTGACCGCTGATCGGAACTATGGCTCAGTGGTTTAGGGAGGTGACTATCAACCACTGAGTCACGGGTTCAAACCGCGCCTCATCTACGGAGGTTTGGGGGAGCCAGAGAGTATCACTAGCTGTCACAATAGGTATGGCTCACTGCCTACAGCACGGGTATACACAAGATGACTTAGTGCGTCCCGCATCCTTCCTGAATGTTGATAACACGTGTAACCAAGTCATCTTGTGATGATTGTAAACACTGATTGTTTGTAGTAGTAAGTGCAACACGGTAATAAACTGCCGTGCCACATCTTGGTCTTACCACCCTGAACCCTAAGTGTTTTGTAGAGTTTTGTTGTTTCGATTCAGTAAGATTGTACTGGATTCTGATAAGTTATACACTTTGGGAATTATCCTAATTTCTTGTTTGATATAACGCTCGGCATCATGATCATTTGAGATGATGATTAGTGAGATAAGGTTATACTTCGATCACTCCCGGCCGATGGCTGTTACCTTGATGTAGTGGTCGGACTTGTATGTCACAATAACTCGACGAGTTACATTGGCTGAAACGCTTGTTACCTCCAGGTCCTCCCATACTGGAAAGGTATGTTGAATATTGGTAAAGAGAAAAGCAGCTACTGTTGTACACTATGATCGGAATCCGAGGGCAAAGTCGAACTGTTGGCTGAATGAGGTGTGACACCCGTAAGGTAAATACCTTGAATGAGCAGCAATGTCTCGCTGATGCTACCTTTCCAATGAGAAGGGTGAGGGAGGGCGGTTAGAGGAGGCCGACCCCAGAAATAACACACACCTCCCTGCTCCATGGTCTGCCGTTATCAATAGTATAAGTTTTGTCTATCCGGCGTTAGAAATACCAAATCTGAAAACAACAACCTGTAAGGGGGTATGTGACAGACTGCAAGCAGATGTCTGATAATCTCTGTCGTCTCCCAAATCTTTTTCAGGTACCCTAAGAAGAAATAACCCTCCACAGTATGGGCAGTCGGAAAGTGTCAACCACCCACACGCTTCCATTAATGTTCCAAAACTTCGATCACTGTTATAAATTTTCCAGGCTTTCTGGAAAACAAGAACTAAATTAATTCTGCCGTATATTCTTGGATAGTTTCATGATGTATATTGATTTCTTTTTATTTTCTACAGGTGGACGTCGTGATAGCTGTACCATGACTGCAGAAATACTGTCTACACTTGCTGGTGTACAAGGGGAGACGACGGATAACATGGATAGAAAAATGCATTCCGATACTACACCAAGCAGTGGAATACAGAACCATGGAGGTGTTTACATTGCTAATCCTATGGGGGACAACAGGAGCGTTCTAAATACACTGAGTGGTCATAATGCTACCACCACCATGAACAACAACAACAACAACCAGCGAAATGACCACCTTATGCATACTCTGACATCTTCCCAAGCAACCTCTAATAATAATGATAATAATAACTATCCATTCAGTCATAGTAGGTCACAAACTATGTCCGCGAATTTCATTCAAAGCTTGAATGATAATAGTAGTGGAAGTATGGTGAATGCTTCAAGTACAAATACAACTGCATCCATCCATCCTGTTTACTCTTCATGCTTACATCATGTAGGTTATAAAATTGGTATATCCATGTCACCGAATGACTATCGTTTATTGACTGATCCTAGACTGGTGAATTATGTAACAGACAAAGAGACAGAAGCCCAACTAATTGATCAGTAATTCCTATTTCTTAATTATCCTCTATTACTTACTTCGTCTACTACCTCGGTGGTTGGTTGGGTTGGTTATGCAGTCGATCAGATTTCTACTTCTTAAAGGTGAATAGAATAATATCAGTCTGTTAACAGGATACAAGACAATATGTGTGTATTGTTTTCAATCATTAATTGGTTGGATCTGACTGCTATTCTTTCATTCACTGGTGAATCCTACAGGTTTATGACATCTACTATCTAGGAAAGTTGACTTCTCATTGTATTACATTAAGTTGGCCATATGTTTGGTCATATTATTATTATTATTACTACCTTTTTTTGTCTTTCTTTCTTTCAATTATTTTATGCATGTTACTGTGTTGCTAGGCAAAAAACAACAAGAAAACCGGAGTGCATTCATTGGTTGACTTTCTCTCTTCCTCCCTCCCTCCCTATGTGTATTTATTTTCTGTCTAGTTTTCTTTTTTCATGCTTGACACTTTTACTATATTGTCAATTTTGTTGACTGATCTCCCGGTTATTGTTATCGAATGCTGAATACTGCTAGATTGGTTTGTTTTTTCTGTGAAACCTTATTAGTCGGAAGTTAAGCTGATCCAAGTTTCATATATATGTATATGTAGTTAATTTTGTATTACTCTGTTTTTCCCAAAAACATTTTTTTTTTACGAAAGAGATATTTACATGTGAAGAGATATATGTATGTTAGGTTTCATGTTATCGTGTTGCCGCGGTATCTAGATTCTACAGCATGAAGGGGTATTTTATGGATATTTTTTGCCATCAACTCACTTAAGAAGTGTTGTATGTTACGATGATACGATTTGAACTGGAATGGATAATTGTTACTGTTAAATACTACACTAGATGTTATTACGCGTCCACGTTGAAGCGTGACTTCGTTAAAAGCAACTTCTTTATTCTTATTGTTTAACATCAACACTATTATTGTTGTCGTTGTTATTATTATTATTACTTCCGCTGTCAATGCTTCTTCATATTTGGCGCTGATATTGTTCTTGGTCTGGCTAAGTTTAGCCTCTTTCCTCTCTATCTTCTTCTTTTTATGTCCCTCTTTTTCTCATTCAATAAATATATTTATGCATATTATACTGCCTTGATTATTCTTTTGTTGTCTCTTCTATAAAACTGTACAATCTCTATCTATCTGTTTTGGTGTAAAGTTTAATCAATTAAATTCGCTCTTCACTGATTTGTTGTTGTTATTTATTGCTGCTTACACACACACACACACACACACGCACAAGGATCATGGACACATTGTCTCCTGTTTATTGTTACAGTAGTAATGGTAATAATAGTGCTGAGAGGTTTTTGCTTTCCAGCTGTGTATTGTTTTGCCCCCCCCCCCCACCTATTTGCTTTTGATCGATGCCCTTGTTACCGCCGAGGTTTAATCACTATGAAAAACATAGTGTAAACTTGAATACAGTTGTTCCCTTACTTCAGTGTTGTCATTAAGCCTGTTTTGTGCTCTCCCATCCTTCGGGGGTGAGTTCTTATGTGTATTGTTGCCTTTAAGTGTGACCAACAGATTGTCCATTTTCATCTTTCCGTCATGCCAGGTGATCATGTTTACTGATATATGTATGTATATGTGTGTATGTGAAGGACATCCTTTCTTTATGATTACTATTATTATTATTATTATTATTATTATTATTATTATTATTATTATTATTATTATTATTATTATTATTATTATGTCGTCTATGCTCTCATTATCCGATCATCACCTTTTTTCTTTACTCACATGTACTAATTCATTCTTTCCGTCTTGATCATTCTATTTTATCGTCTTCCCTTGAAACTGCTTCTGCTGTGGTGTGGTGATGTAAGCGCCATTCTGTTTTTTTTTTTTTTTTTTACTCCCGTACATTTCATCCCTTTTTTAGTACAAACACATTTGTCTTTGCCAAATATTTGAAAATTTCATTTATACGCTAATGCTTCTAAATCAACAGAGATACTTTCTCCTAATTTTTATCAATAATAATGATGATATTATCACTACAATCACTTTTAACTAATTAAAGTCAGTTATCGTTAAAATTTAGTTTCTTTTCTGATTTTGTTCTTAGTTAACTGATACACTATTTACATGCTGATAGTAGTTTCAATAGTTTGCAAAAAAAATGTTGGTGTAGTGTGTTAGTGTATGATTATTATTATTATGATGGTGGTGTTGATATGTGCTGTCATGTACATCCAATCTTGGAAGTGTGGAACTATGACTCAGCGGTTCAAGGAGTTGACTATCAACTACTGGGTCACGGGTTCGAGGGCTTCTTCACCTACCGAGGTCTGGGCAGTCAGTTAGTAGCATCATTGGCCCTCACACACACAGAATGGGTGTGGTTCATTGCCTATGACACGGACGTGCACATGATTGCTGAGTATATTTCCAATCTTGTAAACAAATCATACGAACCAGTGAATGTTATCAGCCATAGACCTGTTCAACTTTATCATATCCTTTGACACCATATCAAAGTGTTAAGAAGACACCAATGAGCTTGATCCTCAACAATACCATTTAGTTTCTCTAATCAATCATGTCTGTTGGCTGTGATACTGACTCTAAATAGAAGTTTACGTCTCTTCACATAGATCATGGACTGATGTCACGTTTTAGTCAACCAAATGTTAACCTTTCCTCAGTCTACATCTACTGCGCCTAACATTGAATGACGCGGTAGACGGTGACCAGGCATGGATAACGCATTTTTCAGACATGTAAAGCCATGTAAGTGCACAACCACACCGACTGATTTCCCTATTACATCTGGATTTGCATTACTGATGTGACATTGTCTATGCCATGGTAGAGGAATAAGTGTAGCGTTTCACCTTCGATGACCATGTTTAAGAGCTGTCTAGTAGAAGATACCGAACTGCTAATGGACTACTGGATATCACGGCAGCGTGATAAATGGCGCAAGTTGGCCCAAGCCAAGGAAGTCTTTCTATATTCATGTCAGGATTTCATCAGCCACTGATTTAAAAGGGTCTATCAGAATTCCTAAGTAGGTGAATTGGTCATCATGCTCAACCAATCCACTTAGTTGTCAGACGGGGCACCAATGGAGATTGTTCGTTGAGCAACAATTTGCATTTTTTTTAAGCGTCTTTATTTCACAAGACTATGTTGTCTACTTACTCTGAGTTAACTAAGATGTATCTTGAAATAAGATCAGTCCTTGCAGATTCGGATTAGGAGAGCGTGATCTCTATCAGAACGTCTATGATAAACTTACTTAAGAATTGAGAGATTGTTTATCTTTAATGATTACCCTTTGATGTAGATAACTCTCCATGGGTTTTTAGACGGCTGCGTATATTCCATTACAGGACATTCAACCGAGTGATGTACTTCCCCATCATCCTTTTCAATGAGACACACTACCATACAATGTTGGTTGGTACAGTGGAGTGCCACCTTCAGGCCAAAGAATGTAAATAGCATACTGTAATATCGAGTATGCTTGTATTCCAAGCTTTAATTGGAATTACCTCAACTTGTTTGTGTTTCGGTGTTTTCAAGCTTCACTTCTAATGATCATTGTACCAAGAATCTTAGACTCTATGTTGGTCAGTTACATTTCTCGGTAGGTTATCACAAGACAATTTCTTTAGTGAAGACAGGCAATCAGCCACTGTTAACTGTCAGGGGAAGGTAGTATGTAGTTTCTTACATCAGTTCTTACTCCAGTCGGTCCCAACCTGTTGTATTTCGTCTTTTTTCTCAGGCTATTTATGGTGTCTTCTTATGCATTTATCCGCACATTTTAGCTTACATGAGAATACCGTGTACTTTACGAACTCCCCATCTACCTGATCGCTAAGTTCGATTTATTATTTCCTGACTTGATTCTCGCTCGTAGTTGAGGGTAGTTGTAGTATTGCTTACTTCAAGACAAGATGATAAGTAGATTTCTTTGTACTGCAGTAATAAACCTTTCGGTTTGTTATTGGACTTCTTCAGCTGACAAATACCACTTTTTTTAAACGAGAGGTTGAGTTTACTCAAAGCTTGTCCCTGGCTTATTAACCTGGGGCTAGTTTGCTAATCTATTGTCGATACCACGCTAATCATTTTGCTTATTGACTGTATAATGTAAGGTCGGTACTGTATATTACTTGAAAAAGTTAAAGTATTCTATCCACTTTCGTACGGTAGGCGATGAGCCATACCTAGTATACGAAAGCTAATGACACTACTTGCCTGTTTGCACCTTGTTAAGTAGAGGTAAGGTGTGGGTTCAAAACCATCAATTCACTATTGTTACTAAAGCTTTCTTCTATTCCAGTTATGACGTAGTTTGCTTGTCGGTGGCTAGAAATGAGATTTAGGACGCGGATTCTTTCCTTTTTCTGGCTTGTCATCTATATGTTCTTTTATGAGTTGCGTATAATGAGGATTCGCGTGATCACTACCAACAAATCCATTTAAAAAACTTCGCTGTAGTATACTTCTTGTCATTTCATTTATAGATAGTGCCTAAATTGTCTTACAGAGCGATAAATCTAAAAATAAACAGTTGACTGCCTAATTTTTACTCCGAAGTCCTTCCTACTGAAAATACGCTACATCTCATACAGTTGGTAAAGGAATAAGAGGTTTTGAGGGGAATTCGCTGTTTTTCGTTGCTTTTATTTAAGAATTCCCCCCTTTACCACGATCTTAACAGATGCGGAGATCAACTATCAGTTCTTCGTGTGAATCTGTGGTTCATTGCTGTAGGGAGATGACTAACCAATGAGTCGTGAGTTCGAAACCCACTCCGACTACCGAGGTTTGGGCAGGTAGGTAGTAGGACCATTAGCCTTCATATAATAAATGTGGCTCATTGCCTGCTGCACGAATGTGCATAAAAATGCTGTGGACACGCTAGTTCTTTGTGAGTTCGCTACCAAGTAAGAACACGATAGTGTAGTCAGGTAGGAATTGTATATTTGATGAGTCGTATTAGTTGGATAAGG